TAAATGAAATGCTGTTACAGAAAGAAGCAATAGTGGAGGACTGTAAAAAGAAATTAAAAGAATTTTTTGAAAATAATCTTAATAAAGGTACAGATGTAAGAATGGTTTGGGACACAAGCAAAGCTTTCATAAGGGGTTACTTTATACTCAAAAAGAAGAGGCAAGAGAGAACACAAGCTATTTTGGATGAGATAAGGAGGAATTAAATAAGTTTCCAGAGAAGATATTGTAAATATTTCTCAACAAATTAAGCTTCTGCAGAGACAATTATCTATGTTAACACTAAGAGAAATGGAAATGAAAATGAATTATGCAAAACAAAATGTTTCTGAGTTGGAAAATAAACCAGGGAAGTACTTGGCATACAAATTGCAAAAAGAAAAAGAAAAGAAAATGATATTGAAAGTACAAGAGGAAGATACTGTAACAAGGGAGATATATATTAAAAAAGAGAGAGATGATTGGGCTGTCAGCTATACCAATTTAGCTACAATGGCACTATATATCAATATTTCCCACAATATGGATTTCAAGCTATCAGGAACATCATCACTGATGTCAACACCGCACCCCTTGCCAGCCGACTGTGTGACCTTATACTCACTCATAACTATTTCACCTTTGGCAATGACATGTACCTGTAAATAAGTGGCGTAGACATGAACATACATATGGCTCCTCAATATGCTAACATCTTTATAGCTGACTTAGAACAACACTTTATCAATCCCTCCAACCCCTCCTTTACTTAGGATTCATTATCACATTTCATCAACTGGACCCATGAAAAAGAATGTCTCACCAAATTCCACCATGACTTCAACAACTTCCACCCCACCATCTACCTTGGCCATGACCTATCCACAGAACAAATCCACTTCCTTGATGTCACAGTAAAACTACAAAGTGGATATAGTGTATAAACACCACGATATAGAAGAAACCTACAGACTGACACACAGACACACGTTTCCAGCTTTCACCCAGAACACACTACCAAATCTGTCATTTATAACCAGGCTCTGTGCCAGCACTGAATTTGTTCTGACCCACTTGACAGAGATGCTCAACTAATGGAATTAAACCAGGCATTCAGGAGACTGACCTACTCCCCCAACAAGATCAACAGACAAATCAATACGGCCAGATCAGTTCCCAGGGAGGATCTATTAAAAGGCAGACCACATTGTCATCTTCAGCTCACAGCATAAGCCACTCACTTAATAAGCACTACTGGACAATAACACTGCACTTTCTTAGACATTGGATAGCAGGCCCATCTTTGTATACAGAGAAGCATCGAACCTGAAACACATTCTCACAAGCAACAAAAAACAATAGAACATGGGAAACAGACCCTGCAACAAACTCAGATGTTTACTTTGCTCCCACATTTACACCAACAGCACCATTCCAGGCTCCAACAATTTCACACACAAGATTAGAGGCACTTTTACATACTGTTCCTCCAAAGTAATACATGCCACGAACTGCCAGCAATGCCCCTCTAGATTCTATGTATGACAAATGGGACAAACTTTGCACAAAAGAATTAATGGACATGTTTGACATCCGAAGTAAAAACAAAGACTAAGTAGTATTTAACCCTCCCAGGAGATTCCATGACAGATGTTAAGATCCCATTTTAGAACAATGGAACTATGCCAGTATTAGAGTGAGAGACTGCCAAACTCACATATTCAAAAGGTTCCAGGCTATTTCAGAAGGTCTTAACAAACACAATGGGTTTTTAACTCATTACAATTTCTGATTGATGAAGTACCTGTCATTTGCTTCATGTGTAACTTGCATCTCCATAACCTCCCTTTCCCTCCCCCTTACCTCAGCCCCCTTTTAAAGCCTACATCAGTTTAGCCATTCATATGCATATGGTGTAGTGAGCCACAGGTAATGAAAACTTATGACTTCTAATAAAAATTTGTTACTCAGAAAAGCTGCTACCAGACTCTTTCTGATTTAATTATTTCACTAAGAATAATTTCAGCTGTACCAGGAAGCTAGATGGCTAGAAGGCCAGAAGTTGCTTAACTTATCTTTCTTTGCCTCAAAGAAGCAGAATTGGAAAGCCTGTGTTCCTAATTCTGAAGGCTGTTTGGAGTTTCATGCCCAGCAGTTTAAACCCTGCTAGTTTCAACTAATAAGGTATTATACCAACCTCCTACCCTTCCAAATTTGGTGCTCTCCAGAGCTTTTGAATTATAATTTCCAAGATCCTTAGTTAAAAGTAAATTCTGGGCATTGTAATTACAGCATATCTGGAGGGAGGAATTTGACACAGTTAACCACATTCTGAAACAATTCCCTGTAGAAATAGTCCAAGCTTCAGCATAGTTACTTCTCATTGTACTTGTTACTTTCACCCACAGTCACAGCTGATCTCATTCCTTAGTAAAGTGGAGTTTTAATAACATTGTGCCCACTTACTGCTTGATCATGTGTCATCAAGTCAACGTTGACATAGCAGGATTTCTCCAGCAGGATCTCGTCCCAGCCTGGTCCCTCAGGTCTTCCAATGGTGCACCCATTGCTGCTGTAATCAAGTCCATCCATCTTGTTGCTGGTTGTCCTTTTTTTCTCTTTCTTTCCACCTTTCCCAGCATAAAAGATTTCTCAACACACACACACTTCCTACTGTTGTGTCCTGCTTCATTATAGGGTTCACTTTGTTTGCATGGGCTTGCGTAGTTGACTTAGCAAAACCATAAATGCATGGTGAGGCAATGTTGGTTTTTTCCCCAACCTGGCTTGTTGCAAAGCTTGATGCTGATTTGAGGCTAACAGAGGGTGGTTGGCAACCCATGAGCTTTCTTGTCTAAGGGAGAACAAGAATCTGGGTCTCCCCACTCCAATCCATCACTTTAAATAATACACTATTTCTGGTAAATAATTAGACCTACACATCTCAGTCAATTGCTGAACTGTGAGATGGATGACTGGATGGACAATAAAAGTTAAATGTTTTCCACTACTCTTATATTGGTTCAAATATAAGAAAAGTCTCTTATTAAGCCTGTTGACTTTTATCACATTGCCTATTTAGCACATGGATGGGCAATTTTCTCATAGCTGGGCAATCTGGAAGATAAATCAATGGTTCAAACTTCAAGGGCCACAGGAGAAATGGCTAGTAGTGCAGTCTTGGGCTGGGGGCTTGGAATGACTTAAGAACTCTAGAATGATAAACAACAACCAACCAACAAATTAGTATGGGGGGATTTTTGCCTCTGCATGTAGGTGATAAGATCTTAGGGTGCTCTGGAGACTATGGAATGGGTATTGTGGATCACATATGGCATGTAGGTTGAGTACTTCACCAAGTCGTGTTTCAGCAAATCTGCTTCAGTTAGGTCTCTTATGGATTTATGGACAATGCCTCCTAGAACCTGGCAGAGGTTCCTGCAAACATCCTCATAGGCTGATATAACTGGGTTGAATGAGAAAAGGAGCAGAAAAGAGTTGTGGTGGCACAGAGTACAATCCTTACCAGTTGCAAATTATTGCTTCCCATTTACATTTTTAGTGGGGAAACAATGCATAGTCGTGTGAAGAAGGTGGATCCCAGGTTCACATAAGCCAGTCCTAACTACAATATCCTGATTACTGTGCTGTTCCTTAATCAGGTGTCCTCTAGATGTGCTGGACTGTCCATTGCTGGTGATGGTGGTAGTTAAGAGAATAACTTATCAATGCCTAAACAAAGCATATATGTTTCCATACTAACCTACTGACAGCTTGGGGACTGGAATAGGCAGTGGATCACCAACTGGCATTTGGACCGCAGGCATCTTCAAAACAGAAGCTTTAATAGGAGTTTTTATCATTATCTTCTCTGACTGTTCATCATTAACTATGCAACTAGGAACACCATTCAGACCTGCAAAACAAGAAATTATCTCTAAACAAAACAACAAAGAGCCTTGTGGATTTAAAATTGCATAAACTTCCATGGATCACAGGCTGTCTCATCTGATGATCTACACAAACACTCAGCAGTTTACAGGAAAGAGAGAGGGAGGAGAAAGAGGGGAGTGGTTAAAGAAAAGATGAGAGAAAGAAATACAGACAGTCACTATAAACAAAGCAATAGTTAGGAGTGACACAGATATTCTAGCCCTGAATTAATTTATCTGTTGTGCGAAGATCGTTAATATTTGTATTGTAATAACATGGTGTTTGTTTAATCCATGAGAAAAGATAACCTCCTGTTGCTAGTTGGGGCTAACACAAATTGCAACTCAACATCTTGGGTCAAAAAACCTGAATTTACTCTGGAAAGAGTTTCAGTAAGATCCAGTTAGTTATCTGCACATTTTCTGTATGCATGACCTTCTCTCTGGAATCTGTTTCAAATTCTTTCCAGATTTGAGATTTACAGAAAGGGAAGAAGGAGAAGGCATGCAACCGCAGCTCCGCAAAGCTTATGTCTTTTCATAAAATGTGTTAGTTGGAAAAGGTGCCACCAAACTCCTGATTTTTTTGCTACTGTACTTCATAGTGGTGACCTTCAGAATCATGCATGCTAGATTCTGGGAAGTCTGTAGTCCATCACTTGGCACAGAACCTCCATCTTCAAGGCCACTTCAGGTAGTCTCTCTACTGGTACAAATAGAAACCATTTGTGGTGGAGAAAAAACAGGAGACAATTGTGTTTAAACTTTACTTTCATTAAAGCAACTCCCACCTTCCTCTCCCCACTCCTCATTTCTCCATTTGTAAAGCTGAGAGAGTCTGATGGTTTCCCCCACCTTTGGACTCTTCAGAAGGGGGACTTCTGGCATCCCCACATGTTTAGAGGGAACAAGCTGGTAAAGGCAGACCTTCAGTTAGAGAACATCTCCACTGCTTACTAACCTAACATTCTTCCTCAGAAGCTGCAACACATGAAAACACTGGTGTACATTTATTTTTCAAAAGGGTAGACTTTAGCCCATCTTGCTCAAATGAAAAGTGCTTTGTCAATATATAATTCCTCAAAAGCACTGCAACATTGTATAACTACTTATTTTCTTTCTTTTTTAAATTAAGTCTTCCTCAAGTTGTGGCTTGACTCCTGGTGACTTACAGAGGTTTTCTTGAGAATAGCACAGAGGTGGTTTGACCCTGCTTTCCTACAGGAAATACTTTGACTTCCCAGTTTAGTCCAACAGCCCTGGTATTTCCCACTGTCTCCCACCCAAGTACTAACCAAGCCAACCTGTGCTTAGCTTCCAAGCCTGAACAAGGTCAGCTAGGTGCTGCCATTTAAGTGTTTTTCTACTAAGTTACTGTTATACTACAAAATACAGAGAATAAAAACATACCTGAGTTTTGCCCTAAGTTTGAGACAGTTGAGCATAGGATGGGTGCTTTAAAATGCTTACCATGGATATGGGTTACTTGGTGAGGGTTGGCGTTGTGTGGTAAGAGCAAAGAGTGATGACTGAGACTGCCAAGTAGAGCAGAGTTTTTCAAATGGGTCCTCAAAGCCTGAACACGGAACCGGTCAGGACAATCTAGTGTGACTTGTTTCAGGTTCCTGGCTAAGAGGGCAACAATGTCCATAACTGGAATCTTCTGTATTTCACTTTTAATCAGCATAACCACGGTTCCTAAATTAAAACAAATAATGGCAAGGTCATAATATTCTGGGGTCCAACAGAGTCCTAAATTTTAGTTGTTCTAAGCCACACAGTCAATGTGGCTTAGGTGCTTTGTTGCTGAGATTTGGCAGTAACCTGCATTGCCACTGATTTTGGCAAGCTCTCTGGGCTACATCCAAGTATGGATGGTTTATGGGTTGCCCACTCCTGGTCCAAAAGTGAAATTGAGTTGGTTAATGATAGTCTTCAGGATGATTACATTCTGTACTCAAAAGTGTGTAAACGTACGCAGTCAGTATGACTCAGCCATCTTTAAGCCCTGTAAACCCTGATTTTAATAAAACATTTAATGCATTTCTGTTCTTTCTCTTTGAAATCAATTTTGAAAAGAATGAAATTGTTCCTAATCAGACCCTTTTATTATGCCATGCTATTAATTTGATTATTTATTCATTTCTATGCCACAGAATTCAGCCAGCCTGATAGAATTTCCTGTTTAGATAATGAATAACTGAATCATTTTTATTTCGCTCACCCTCCCCTCAAAAAAAGTGGTACTTCTGAAACTTGTACTTACCTAGAGGAAAGAGCTGGAGTTTATTTAAATGTTGTAGGAAAATGAACGGTCTGAACACTTCTGTGTACTTGCCATAAAGATCTTAAATCACGGACATTTGTTCTGGTTTTATGGGTAATTCTAGTAGCACAAAGCTGGAACCTGAGACAGGTAACGCCATCGCATTTTCCAAAGAAGCTCCAAAAAATGACAGCTCATGATACTTCCCCCATTCTGACTGATGAACTTCTCCCTGTTTACCACTTAAATCGTATTCTGAAGACTTGCAAAACTCTTCTTGGAGTTTTGCAATCTCCCCATTGTTAAAATAAATGGCAATATCAGCAAAAGTAAAACAGATAGTTTTGTGAGGAATTGCTGAAGCATTATACCTGTCTCATATTGGTTTCATGGGTGCTGTTTCAAAAACAGAAAACAGGAAATCGAAAACATTGCACCGATTGTGGAGAGCGCATAGCTCAGCGTAACCTGACTCGGAGATGATGTTGCTATGTAGCTGGCGCTTGTACAGCTTCTTCAGTGTGGAAAGGAGCAAATCAAGATGCAATGGCTGAAAAAAAAATGTGAATAAATATCCTATTTCAGGAGATGAGTGCTATAAGCTGCCAAGATTGGAAGCTTTAAGGTGGTAAATGGATTGCACAGAAGCGTTCCCTACTAACACCTGTTTTTGTTAAACCCATTATAAAGGCTTATCATATTAAATGTCTATGCAATCACTTCACCTGATGCAGCCATTCCAGAAAGCTGCAGGGCAGAGAAGATGGACAAAAAAAAAAAAAAAGAAGAAGAAGAAGAAGCAAGACCTGCTGGTGAATAAACTGTTTTTTCTCCCTTTCTCATCTTAACAGCAATCGCTCCATCAGGTTATCTGAACTGTTTCTCCTGGCTATGTTGTTGTTGTTGTTTAGTCGTTAAGTCGTGTCCGACTCTTCGTGACCCCATGAACCATATTGCGCCAGGCCTTCCTGTCCTTCACTGCCTCCCTGAGTTTGCTCAGTTTCATGCTCATTGCTTCAGTGATGCTATCTAACCATCTCATCCTCTGCCGTCCTCTTCTCCTTTTGCCTTCAATCTTTCCCAGCATCAGGGTCTTCTCCAAAGAGATCTCTCTTCGCATTAGGTGACCAAAGTATCTGAGCTTGAGCTTCATTATCGATCCTTCCAATGAGCTATCTCCTGGCTATAAGAACGGTTATTTTAAGAAAAAGCACCTTATTTTCTTTTTCTCCCTTCCTTCCTCTGATTCAGGGGTGTCCGGGGGGGGAGGTCAAAAAGGCAAGATGGTGGCCACAACCATGAGATCAAAGCCCTGCCCCCTTCTGATGTGCGTTGTGATGCAGGCAAAAAAAGGGGGCCTTTGATGGCATGTTTGTGGCCATCTGGACTTCTTTTACTCCTGCTGTGGACACCTCTGTCCCCATTTCTTTTTCCTTGTTCATCATGTGTTATAGACTGGGTGCCCAATTATAGTCCTAAAACATTGTCTGTTGCTCTGGAAGTCTGTTTGGCTAAAGAGCAGACAAAAATGGCTTTGAATAAATCAAAAACTTTTCAGAGACATTCACAGAACATCTGACTGAGGATATAATGGGGAATTCTGGGAGTTCAAGTCCACACGTCTTAAAGCTGCCGAGGCTGAGAAACACTGCTCTACAGCATTGCTAACTTGAGAAGGACAGAACAGATTGTGTCCTAGATGAATAGCTGCTAACATTGAACAGGACCTGGATGTTCCCTTCTACAATTCCACATTTTAGAAAGAGTGAAAAATACACATCAGGGTTTGGAAAGAAAGGTGATCCCCAGTCAATGGCCAGGTTTACTGTGCAGGTAAGTTTCCATAGTGTGAGTCAGTGACAAGGGTCTCAGTTATACAGGGTATAGAACATTTACATAACATTGCTATTTATAGAGAATTGTGTAAAAGACTTCCTGCTTGCCTGCCTCCATAATTTCTGCATCTGCACAACCAACCTGTCTTCCCTTCCTTTTCCCCCCACACCTCACCCCATTTTAAATCCTACATCAGTCCAGCCACTCTATACATCTGATGAAGGGAGCAGCAACTTGTGAAAGCTTACTGCCTTTTAATAAAATTGGTTAGTTTCAGAAGGTCCTACCAGACTGCTCCTGATTTTCTAAGACAGATTGTTTTTAAAGGCTCCTCCCAGGATTGTGTAGCCCATAGCAATAGCATTTGGGCAAAGAGTGGCAGATATGTTTCTCATCCAAAATTTAAGAAGCTATTTACCGTTTACACTGCTGCCACAGTTACAGGGGTATGAGTCTCTTTTATCTTCTCCTGCCTGGTGAATGGCTGCAAAATACCCTCTGATCTGCCTCCTTTATTCCTGATTGTGTTAAAG